CCCCCCCCCTCCATACCCTTCATCCCCTCCCGCTGTGCAACTCTTCATCCCTTACCCATTCACCGGACGCAATACCCTCGGGCCTCGTAAATTCGTTATCGTCCTTGTCTACAGGCACGACTTTCGCGCCATTGCTCAACTGGTCCGTCCATTTGCTACTTGCCAATTGCAATTGCTATACCCAGTGTCTCGTTCGAGAGTCATTTGAAAAATTTTTTTTATTACGAAATTTCTGAAAACTCTGACGCGTTTGCTTTTCAAAAAAGTGATAAAAAAAAAAAAAAAAAGGAACCTCGGTTGATTCCAACGGCACGACCAGAAGCGCTTTCGCAGAAGCAACGAGAATTCGTTTGCGCGAGTAATTTAAATGGAAAAGTCCGTTGGTCGATGTTAAAATCGAACGGCAGAAAAGCCAAAGAGCGCGTATTACGGGAGTACCAAGCATACTTGTTGAAAGTGGCTGCTCGTTTCAGGAGCGCACAAGAAACGACGACCAAAAGTGGAAAACCGGTATGAGTTTAAAAAAAAAAGAAAATTCCAAAAGTGTATAACCTCATCGCTACTGGTTTATGGTACCAGTCACGTGCCTATAGACTTTATTAGGACATTTGTTTATCGAACGTTAATTTCCTTGACTGTTATTAATCCGTCTCACTAAATCTCAGATACGTATGCTGGTGGCGCGTAGGGACTCGTGGAACGTACGTGTACGTGGTACGTAAGAGCGAGCAAGACGACGCGATCGTAAACAACAATGCGTGGGGTTGAGTAACAAAGAAAGATTGAGAGCACCGATAAGTAAAAAGTAGCAAAGAATTGATTGGTAAAAATCCAAAGAAGCCGACGGATTAACTGGGAAATGGACGAGCTGTCAGGATTTTTTTGATGTATTAACCTCGTTAAGTGATAACGCAGCCGCAATAGGAAATACAGAGAGACAGAAGCGTAACGGAGTCAGTATTAAAAAATATTACATAAGCATAGCTCCCTGTACTAAGATACAACTTGAACGCCTTGGCATATGCACTTATGCAGATAAACAAGCAGAAAATAATCAAAGCCGAACGTACAGACAGTACGGAAATTCGCTTGGGTTACAAAACCAACGTTTCCATGACCAACAATTTTCAGGGAGAAGAATTCCTAATAAGGTAACTTCGAACGCCCCTAAGTTAACCTACAAGATTTATCATCCACGAAAATAATAACAATGACACTTGAATATGCTAGAACAGCATATGCTCCTGGTCTTCCCCTCATCCCAGAAAGAATGTCAAATTACGGAAATTTATCAGGTAGGATAGATCCGAGGAAGACAGTGGGTCTAGGGACGCCAAGCGTCGCTACGCCCGAGTGTCACCTGTTACGTTGTCAGCTGACAGCAACACTTTTCCTTATCCGGATAAGCAAAAGTCAGACACCAGGAGTCTCAGAGTTTGCTGCGAGCGGTTCTCGAGGCCAATAAATAGGTGCTTGCTGTCACTTAAATGGATTATTAAATCTGTCCAAAATTGGCTCAAGGTTTGGCTGTAATGATTTTCAAGGTAAGTCGAAGAAACTACGTAACGAGAACCAGTACGACCTGTTCTCACTTTCATTTTCGAGTAACGACACACGTGGCACGTGAGTGACATAGACATTGGCGCTTGAAGCTGCTTTCAATGTTGTTTTGTGGCATTGAGCAATTTTTTTCTCTCTCTTCTAATTTACCCTTTTTTTTCTATTTTTATTATTATTAAAATATTTTTTATTATTACAATATAGATTCGTGTCACGACCATGCCTCGCTAAGCTTTCGAATATAAAGCTGCTACGAGTGGTCTTTGGAATTCATTCTCAACAAAAACACGGCAAAAATGATTATTTTCTAACGACAGTTCCTGCCATTCGAGCCTATAAGGTCCGGTCCATACGGATACACGTGTGCACATGCACGAACGATGTCGTAGCTCGTGAAACATATATCGAGAACGTCAAGAAGAGCAGCTCACGCTATAAATATAGGTTTCCGATAAATAACATATGAAACCCTGTTATTTTTCAATATATATATATATATATATATATATATATATATTATTTTCTTAGAAAATCCATAAGCCAACATTCCTATATAATAAGTTTCCATAAACGTGCACACCGTCACCCATTTTCATTGTACGTTGTGTTACGACTTTTAAAATTTCCCATAAGACTACATCCGATAGGCGATACCATAGCAGGACATAGGATACCATTGAACGATGACCCCCCCACCTGTTGACCCTATATCGCGAGACTTCGGAATGGGGTAAAAAATTGTTCCCGTTACAATACCTCTAATCATTGTAAACGCTGCGCACGGTCCACGCGGCGGTAACGCCTGAATCGCTGCAGATGCTATCTAAATCCGTACGGGAGAGAGAGAGGGAGTACAGCTTCTGTCACTATGGGCGGATCTTCACGAGAGTCAGCAGTAGCTGTCGACGGTACGTAGTCAGACAAACAGATAGAACTAGACACCGACTTCTCTTTCACTTGACCACGTGTCAGTGTTATTCCAGAATTCCATACGAGCGCTCAGTACGAGCAGTCTTACTGGTACACGTATGGTATATCGGGCAAAGTTAGTAGGCAGCAGGTAGTATTCATTATCTTTCATAGGAGCTGTCACGCGTTATAACCATACAAGATGAAAACCATGATGACTGTTTTATAGAGAAAAGAAAGTAGTACCCAGGCGAAGACGCCGGTTGCGTTACTTACGTAAGCGAGTTGCCGGCTGTTGTACCCGTGGCGAGTGGCGTCGCGACGCCGATGCTGAGTCCTGCTGGTACCCACTCGAGGATGAGAGGAGGTTATGCTAATACGACGCTTAGAATTCCGTCAGCGTGAGTGCCTTCGCACACCGTCGTCCTCTACCTCGTCGTCGGGGAGCTGCCTCCTGGTGGTGGTGGTGGTGCACTTTGGTACTGGCTCCTGGGAAATTACAGGATTTTCCAGGTTCCTTGTATTTCTTTTTCTTCTCTCTCTCTCTCTCTCTCTGTCTCTTTTTCTCTCGTTATGTACTCTTTTCTATTTTTCTCTCTCTTCTTCTTTGGGGTTGATGCCTGGGGTCCTTCTTCCGGTTGGTAATCCTCTAGACCATTGACAGATACCAGGGATGGGCACGTGACGTACGTGACCCTTAATCAGTATCCAGTTCAGGTGACGATAGTGACGTTGATGATGAGAACGACGCTTGATAAGGATGCTCCAATGATATAGCTTCCTTCTCTCTTCTGATTCAACCTGGATGAATCCGTTGTTTCAAGTGCACCGGATTATTATAGGGTCGTCAGGGTCCTCGTCTTCCGTGAAAAATCTCTTTGTCGTTTAACAGCGTCTGCTTTCACGAGGCGTGTCGGGCTTTTGCATTTTCATGACGACGACGCTCTTACGCCTTCGACATACGATACATCGGCACCAGCTTCGTAAAACCGCGAAATCGACTCCCCTCGCTGTATACTCGCGGATTATTACTTCTATGGTGGATGTATGCTTTATAGCAGCCAGATCCGAAGGCTTGACTACGGGATTCCACAGCAGGTCACTATCCGGATATCATGGATACGGCAGAAGGGATAATGTCTGTACCGAGTGAATAAGGAGTGCGTTGTGTCGTGGATGCAGTAAGAATGGAAGCGGGATGAAGATACCACTGATGTTGCAGGGTGTGTGTCAAAATGATCAGGAAGAGGAAATGGTTTGTAGGAGGGATGAAGTGAATTACAATGACAAGGGAGAAGGTCGTTGATAGGGGATGTAGGAGGCGAGAATAGTGGCTTACAGGTGGTTTCAATCCCTAATCACCAAATCGATTCTATTCACTCTGTATATACTTTTAAATGATCTCGCACTAATTAGTCTGGATCGCTGATGCGAGCGAATCTCGTTGATTAGGCATATCGCATTAATATCCGCGCACTGTATCCCAGACAGAGAGAGAGAGAGAAAGAGAGAGAGACAGATGGGAGAAAGAGACAAAAAGTGAGAGAGCACGCTAAGAGATATATCGCCTGTAAAGAAATGAGAAAAAAAATAAATGCCGGCGGCTTCTCACCGGCGCGACGGTTCGTCCGCTTTAGCGTTCATAACCGCAAACAGACGTAATAAATCCTGTGAGCACCAAATCTTTATTGAAACGTACTATTCTCCCCTTCTAATATCTCGCTCTTAAATTATCACTCTGTTCGTCGTTCACACTAATCCTTCACGGCGATCGAACTCAATATTCCATTAGAGATATATCACATTGGTATCGTTTGTATTTCTTTTTTAAACCACGTTCATTAATCCACAACTGTGCAAGCTATTAACCACTTGTAGTTTTTAATATTTTCTATATTAATCGTCACTACTAACCGCAACAAGAGAGATAGAGACTCGCACGACCGTACGTGTAGATAATCGCGCAATATACGAACGGGGGTAGTTCGGCCGTATCGGTCGGCGTTCGGTTTAGAACTGAGCGTGGCTTTTTAGCGGAGACCTCTCCGCCCCCCACCACATGACCCAAACCGAACCCCCACCACTGATACTTGTGCACCTCCCACCACTAAGAAAATCCCTCTCCGTATCCTCAGCACTAACCCGTATCCCCACTCCTCGCCACTGATGTCAGTCTCCTCTTTTCTCTTTATCCTCTGTGACGGCTACCGCCGACGCTGCACGCAGCGCGTCCCGACGGCTGCTGCTTGTTCGGCTTCTAGTACCCGATACCGACTATATATATATATATTGCTTAAAATCTAGAACCACACATGGGATACTTCGAGTATCATTGGTTGTTTTAGAACTTCATCCTGTCCTTCGTGGCTTCCTTGTGGCTTTTCAAAGGTTTACATCGCGTACGTGGTTTTGCACTAACCATAATTAGATTTTAGGAGGAACGCAGGGCTGACTAAGACTCGTCCCTTCTACTAGTAGCCTATTTCTCATTCCCCGGTTGAGCTATCGTCGTATTTATAGAGTCGCCAGATGATTATTAATGACAACGTGGAACCGGTGGAGATCAGTGCCGTTCACGGGTTACGAGATAAACCTCTACGCAGTTTATGTATAACGATCTTGGAATAATTATTTAATAATTAGAGGTTACACGAGTCTTCGTGTTGTACAATAGTACAGTGTAACCAGGTGATTAATAATCACTAATTATGAATGATTAATGTATATAATGACACTCTGAGGTATTACCGGGTTCCATCTGTATACCTACATACTTATATACATATCGAATTAGTCGTACAGTCTATAGGATATCTAACTGACATGTCAAAGACAGTTCACAGAAGCATTACCACATCAGGCCGTAACCTAGCACAGCAGATCGAAGAACCTTCAAGGTTCCACGAGTCGGGAAAGTTTTGATCCAGGGTCAAGCCCAAGGTACGAGGATTGTGAAAGGTCGTGTTTCTGATTTGAACCAAACCAGAGCGAACAGGATACAAGTATCAATCGTTTATTAAATAATTTTTTCGTTTATCCATTTTTTCCCTCCGCGTCTCGGTACCCGTGTATCGAAAGCAAGATCAATTCGAATCAGCCGCGATAAGCTGAGACAAGTTGGCAGCACTGAAAAAAATTAATCGTGAAGTGAAAGTCCTCGTGTATCAGATTGGCAATAAAGTCAATTGGACCGGTTATATTTTTTTTCACCGTACAACCTTATTAAACAATAAATACAGCTTCTGTACATGCAGTCGATAAGTTTAAAATAACTTTGAAAAATAATATTGAACAGAAACATGGCCGCCATTGTGGTATGTACGTTGTATAGGGTCGTCTGAAGTTTCTCAACAACGTGCCTTCTCCCCCGCCCAGCCCCTCCCGTGTCACGAGTTCCGATTGCTCGGCTCACTCGCTTACCCACACAGCGCTGAACTTGTTGTGGCTACAACTGGTTTCGCGTTGCACGTCCCTTCTAGGAATAAAGGTCTTGAAGCCTGGACGTAGAGCAGCGCGATTATCTTGCCTAGAGAAGGCGAAGGGAGGGAGGGGGGCGGGCGGGCAGGTAGGTAGCATCACCCTTAGCGTCGAATTCGAGCCTTCGTAAATGTGAACTTCAATACTGTAAATAATGTTTGTACATGAAAAATAATTTATAAATCAAAAGGACGGTGAACGATACGAAACCCACCCGTATGAAAATGCAACATAAGGCAGTAACAAGGTAACGGCTAGATTTCCTATCTCTCTATTGTGAAAGACAATACGGATTATATAGATTTCGAGTCGCGTATCCATTTGCGATGGATAATGTTTACGGTGTGAACCGCGGCTGAATATACTGATCGGAATTCACGGAGCGACGTGCGAGGGTATACCCACGGTGTATAAATATGACCGTAAAGTTTCGGAAGCCCCTGAGGAAAATAATTTTATGGACGTACATTGCGACACGAGGAGTAGCCCGAGGTTAATTGTCGTTACGTGCTGGCAATAGAATAGATCGATTTCGAAAGGTCACCCGTTAAAGTTCCTCCTCGTTTCCCGTCGGAAAGATATTACCCAGGAACCTCTTGTGCGGCCGTCGAGAAGTACGCAAGGCTTGTGGGGCTCGAGGTAGTACATAGTTGCGCGGATGAATCGTGACGAGCATAAAGAGGCATCCACAAGTGTCTAGACACCGAGAGACAGGACGACCACGGAATGTCAGCTTCTATTGCTTGGATGTACCTGTAAAGAAAGTAAGAGTCGGTACTTGAAACACCCTGTACAGAGAGAGACCAGCAGGATCATCGGCCGACCTGTCTCAAGGTTAAGGAAGCCACAGAGGTTCCAGCTGAGCTCAGTAACCAGGCAGAATGGCCAAACCGGACTAGAAATACGAGGCTGCCATGTAAGTCTGACAGTCTTAAAAAATGTTATATGTATAAATGAAAGGCGGATAAGAAATAATTGAGAGAGTCAGTAAGTCAATTGTATGTACATATTTAAGTGTGGATCGCTAAACAAGAATTAATGACGGAAATAAGATTGTGTACCGAAGAGACGATTTAACGTTACTTTTAAGCAACGCGTTAACGTTTAAATATACGTAACGCGTGACTAGGTAAACCATGAAATAGTATGTTACGGCAAATCGCGCGTTTAGATTGCGACTTATTTATTATGGCTGTTTACGATTAACCAGTTTACGTTATTGTGACAACGTGTATATATATATATATATATATATGTGCGTGTAGAGCACCGTCAATGTTTCCTGACTCGTCTAACAAAATACGAGGACGGTGGCCCAGTTTACGTTATTGTGACAACGTGAGTATGTTACGGCAAATCGCGCGTTTAGATTGCGACTTATTTATTATGGCTGTTTACGATTAACCAGTTTACGTTATTGTGACAACGTGTATATATATATATATATATATATGTGCGTGTAGAGCACCGTCAATGTTTCCTGACTCGTCTAACAAAATACGAGGACGGTGGCTGCTCTTTCTATCCCATTCAAGTAGTGTCGTCGTAAAGGTCTAAAACCAAGTTGTCCACGGAGATACTTTCACGTTCGGGGCACGAACGTGGGACGTTCGTCGCCGGCAGGCTATTTACGAGTGGGCGCCTATATAAATTATGCATTGGCTATTCCGGTTGCGCAGGTCAGTTCGCGATTGTTGAGAAAGTATTAAGACGGCTACTCATTGGGATTACATTGTCTCGGAAGAATCGGATGATGCGATTGCTGTGTAGACGTATATGCACGTACTACGTACGCGAATCTAGTATAGACATACAGTCTGTTTCAACTTAACGTGCACTCTAGGGCTTTGACCGACGGGTTACGCAATCGAAATCCAAAGCGTTAAGTGAAAACAACCTGCGCACGTTATTCGTGCGTTAGAGGATTACCCTATGGTTACAATTACATTGACGATTACACGACTATTACATTGACAGCCTCCCGGCGGACGTCGAGCGTCTCGACGCTTGTTAATTCTCGATTGCGTGCATGTTTGAAAGAGCCGCGAATTCTGCGATTCCACGACGTCCAGGACTTCTCGGTCGTTCTGCCGACTTGCGACTGGCACGTGACCCCGAGGGAGCTCTGGTCGTTTTATAAATCCTCGGAGGGAGGCGCCAGGCAGCATTCAGCGTCCCCCTTTTTCAGAGACGCCCGGTAGCCTCTCGCAGTCCTCGTTCCGAGAGAAAAGCAACGGCGTTAAAGGCAACCTGATTTCTGAAGGATATTCACGCGATCAAGAGATGCTGCGTACGAGGAACGAAGAGACAAGAAAAAGACGAGATAAGCAGAGAAGCAAGTGGAGCTTCTATCAAAGAGCCAGAGAACCCTTTGTGAGGTTAAGGTGCATCCGTATTATATACGAAGAGACACTTGCATATTTTATTCCCTCCTATGGCGTTAACTCGCCGCCTTATACACGTACGTATATCTAGAAAAAGATTTTATATAGCATACGTACATAAACGATGCACAGTACTATTACCCATAGTATATATAGTCTTACGAAAGCTCAAGCAACCTCGGAGAATAATGGCAGTCTCGCACGTGGACCCTATTAATAGCTCAGGATCGTCGGACACGGCCCTGCACTCATGGGATAAGACAAAAGAGACAATAGTGTTGGCAGCGAGGCATCCGAGAGACAGAGTGAGGTTAGAATAGAGCATCGAGACACTTTTAATTGAATACATGGCCCGACGGCATCTTCGGCACGTTTACCTTCGACTGCTGACTGTTGATTGAGTTCGCGGCAGATACGACGGAAATATCTTCATCTGGTATATCCAATGAGAGGAGTGGGGCGAAAAGACACTGTAAACTAAGTGAGTGGGGGCTTGGGATTGCCCAATAGGATGACAGGTTTAGACTGGTCGGTAGGAGACTCGATAGCACGCTGATGTCCAGCATCAGCTGTCCGTTATCGCGTCGCGACGGTACATGCGTGTCCGTCGGCACTGTCGTTACTTCTAAAACGCGATAAAGATCGTTCACAAACACAATAGCGACGACTGCGACACGAGCGCGACGACGCGACTGCTCCCGTAAGAAGCGTTTGACGGTTGGCCAAGCACGGCTGGCGTACGATTCAAAAGGTCTAGGGGTATTCACTACGTAGTTCCTCGATCGGCCGCCAGAGAGATTCCACGAAGTGGCTCGGCTGTAATTTTCCGTATATTTTGTCTCTCTGCGATTTACATGGGACTCGAATATATTGGGTCAGGATCGTGATAGAATTATAGAGTATCGTAACTGTATGGAATGCAGGTTTGTTTTGTTTTACAAAGAGACACGCTCGTTATCGATTACAAATGCAAATGGCCGCTCGTTCTCGTACATATACGAATCTCTCTACACCGGATTAACCGAACGGAGTTTTTTGTTTCTCATTGAGAATTCGAAATACGAAACAGACAGGAATACCGAGTATGCTACGTCGATACAGAAAGAGCCATGAGAAATCCATCTAGAACCTGTGTTATAAATATTCCCGAATTCCGGGTCCGCGAGCCGTCGTTGACGTTGCCATCAGTTTCTTTCCTATCGGCCGTGTTTATTTTCGACTGGACGCGAACTAACGGAAATCACTGACGCGACGTGTCTAAAAGCTTCCGGAAGTGACTTCGTGGAATCATAAGGATGTACATAAATCTCCACTCGAGAACTACGGGGTAATGGTCACGATACCGTGAAAGAAGATACGTTTGCATGGAGAGCGCGAAAAGAAACGCTACGAATAAATTGGCCGCGCGCTTAGGAACTGCCCAAATCAATTTATTGGGCTCTGGTGGAAATCGTAGTTATTTATAATGGCAGCAGGTCGTGCTGAGTTTCTTTATCACGTCGTCCGGGAGTTTCTGGGTTTTTCACTTGGACGCAATCCCGTCGTGAAAACTGATTTGGAAGTGGCCACTCTTTTAAAGATGCCAAGCTCTATATATATATTACACGTAAATATTTATTTTTGTAATTGGACGTTACCGAAAGCGCTTACTGCTAGTGGCGATTCGCATAACGGTATTATTATTCGCCGATTAGAAGCGGCCGTTAAACTGCCATTTATTTATCCCGTTGAAGCTTAACGACTGGCAGAGTACGCTCGAACCGTGTAATATAACAGAGAGAAGAAACTATACAGTTAACGGAGAAAGTCGACCTATCGTCAACATAACAGCACTGCCAACTAATACCACGTTCCATGTATATACCACCAGTAAAAGTAAGATAGCTCCTAATCGTAGCCTTAATGGTTACCAACCACACAGTTATAAACCAAGGTAAGATAAACCAAGCGGTACCGAACGATAGCGGAATGATCCTGATAATCGGGAATGCAGTGTCGGAAAAAAAAAAAAAAAAAAAAAAAAAAAAAAAGAACAAACTTCAAAACGAAAGAAATCCCTCGGTCGGTAAGTATAAAAAAAAAAAAAAAAAAAAAAAAAAAAACAAGATCAACCCTTATTCGCACAAGCAGCGATCTAGAAATTGTTACACCAATAACGAGAGATGAAACTGGTACCGTGTATCGGGTTGGTTCATCAGGAGGGGGGATTGAAACAAAAAAATCTACAAATACCTCGCGGATCGCTGGCGTTGAGATCTATGGGATTGAGGACTGTTAGGGGGTGGTTTCGAGGCTTTCTGGTTGGGATAGCAAAAACCAGCCGTTAATGACCAGACAATGACTGCTGGTGTAAGGGGGCAGAGGGGGGGGGGGCCTGTTAATGATGCGGCTTTGTGGTTGGTGAATTCAGGGCTCTTGCCAAAAGAGGGAGTGAGAAGGTATCATCGGACAGAGGGGGGGGAGGGGAAGGAGGTAGTAACCGGTGGAGATGCCGAGATAGACGCTTGTGTGTATTAATGGGAGGAGGGGGTGGGGGGTGGTTATGGAGTGGAAGAGAGGGATGGTGATAGGGGGTAGATTTGTCCTCGGTAAAAGGGCGTTATCATACTTCCACGCAATAACACTCGCACACTGGATGACGTAAACGGGCGTCCCGACGGCCCGACGTAAACGGCTTATCTGGTTGGCGATGTTTAAATACACACGAGCCCCCCCGTACCCTTTGAAACTGACAATAGAGTCCATCCCCCTTTTACTCCCTGTACGTACCTATATGCACGTGGTGGTCCAGAGGAATTTCGTTGTTTAGTAATAAAAAAAAGAAATAATAATCTACCCCTTTTCACGATTTTGTCATTCGGATAGAAAATTATCGTTGGTCGGTTCGACAAGCACGTCATGCTCGTCCAGTACGTGTGTGACGAGGGATGAGTTGTGAAATTGGAAAAAAAAAAAAAAAATTAAAAGCCACCCTTGTTGACGGCGTATACGGAGTGTCTGAACTCGTATGAAAATTGCGAAACTGTTCGCCGGCTTATGCGGAATACGAAATATGGTGAGGTTACGTATTTATTATTATTATTTTTTTGCTCAATTTACGTCAACCCCTTTTCTTTATCAGAATATGACAACCCCCGTTCCGTTGCTACGCTTTTGGTTTTCTCTTGTCTATCGTACGGAGGCCGCGACGTTTCGATATTTAAACAGGAATAAATATATATATTCGATATAAAAATACGAATACGCGAGTGCCGTGGATAAAAGTGCGGAACGGGGCTTAAAGTTCGATGAAAAAAAAGGTACAGAGAAAAGCAGGGTTTAAGAACGGCAGACAAAGGGTGTATGTACAATTTACCTGAAAAGTAACAAAAGGCCACCGGCGGGCACGAAGTGAGCAAAATAGAAGATGGTCCTACCAGCGAGCAGGGTGTTGAACCGTACAACCCGAAATGACGAGTTTATCAATAAAAACGAACGCCGCCAGTGTACGCGGGATAAACACGGCAATGGAATATTAATTGTTTC